TATATCGGTGATCAGGTCTAGGCGAAATTGCATTTTATACACCTGTATGCAGCCAAACCCAAGAAGGTTGAGACAAGTGACAAATGTAATGCTGCTCTCTTTGACTTCGTTACATCAACCAGGCGAACACTTGTGAATATCGTCCATTCAGCATTGGATGATAATGCGTTGTTTCGTGCCGAACTTACCACGTCTGACTCACTGCAGGGATCAACCAACATGCAGAGGTTTCCTGTACTCGTGGATGTACTTTCAGCCATAATTACTCACATCCCACAGTAGGCACGAATCGAAAGCGTAAAATCTTTTTGGCTCTCACTTTTCATTTTCTGAAATACATTAGATGAAATTTTCCGACTGAAAGTTCTTAATCCCTTAAAATACCAGGTTCGTATCTACCAATACGCCAAAGAAATTTCTAAGCTAGAATTTATTTAAAATTGAATAAAACATTACACCAAAAAACCGTCAATAACCTTACTCAGATTACAAAACGAAGACAAAAAAAGATGACGGCAGCTGCCAAAGATTTCTTCAAAGGCGTCATACCGCTTTTAAAAATGAACATTAAGTTAAAACAACACGTAATTCATAATTCATTGTCTCGCAATGCTCATTGCACGGCTTTTGCTTTCTTTTCCTGTCTCGTTTTGTAGTCGTTCAGTGCTGCCTTTATAGCATCTTCGGCCAACACTAAATTAAATTTCACGTCAGTATCACAATCATGGCATGGTAAAAACAGCAACGAGTACTAAATTGTACTTTACTTTGCGCTTTATCTGTTACCTTGCTTACTGAAATTCGGAACTCTGAACTAACTTTACACGAAGGAATTTCTCAATTAGTTAAAAAACGCTTACACTGAAACTGCTCTAAGCCGCCTTTCCAGCCACAAAGTACTCTTAAGTATCGTTTAGCAGAAGGCATATGGCAACGACAACTTACTACACTGCCCTGGCCATTCTCATCATACTCGTAACATTCTTCACAAGTTAACCGTTGCGCAAGACTAGTTGGAACAATAGTAAATAAGGGCGTGCAGAAAAGCAATAAAATGTTACTACTCAAAGGCGGTTTTCAGACCGTTTTGATTAGAACCTCGCTGGTAGATAATTAGGAGGCATCAAAACAGGACAGGTTCGGATATTTTCGAAACGCAGGAGTTCAGCGATTCATCTCAGAAAGCCAATTTCACCTGTTTGTACCTGCGATCGACAGTCTACGATCCATCGCCATAGATGATCAGGTCCATGAAGATCGACTTGAAAACAGAAGGCTTAGTTCTCAGACTAGCCTCTGTATTAGTCACCACGGTTCGGGATAGCTTACGCAGAAAGCCACTGACTACTCGAATCCGCCGGTCGATCTCTTCTGCAACTTTTCTATCACCAGTAAACACGATCCACAGGTACTTGAGCTTCTCCACTTGTTCCACTGTTCATCGTTCATCAGCGGGCAGGAGAACGAGAAAGCACAAGGCTTTTCGTTTTAGGTGCGTTTACACGCATGTCGGCCACGTCACACTCAGCTGCGAACCTTTCAAGAGAGCAGTGTAGATAAGTTTCAGAACATGCCAATAAAACAAGGTGTCTGCAAGCAGCAACCTTGTCTCCACATTTCCCACACTGATACATTCATCGCTCTGGCAGCGTCTGACTATTCCATCGATGTACAACACAAACAAGATAGGAGGGACAAATTCTATCCCGCGTAGCATCTGTTTTCAGCACATGGTGATTGGATGACTCATAGCAGCCTCCCATTGATCCCATACTTTTGCATGCATGTCCATCGATTGCTACGCGGGATAAGGTCAAGGGCTTTTTCCAGGTCAACAACGCAGAAGCAAACGAGATGAGCGACTCCCTTGATTTTTCAACAATCTAGTTTCAATTCATATAATATGTAAAATAAAGCTTCACTTCTCCAAAAGCAGATTTCCCAGCATACTGCTCCACCCAACTGCAGTCATTTGCTTACGGGGATCATTTAACCAGGCTATGGCTCAATGGTATCTGAGGAAGCACAACGCTAAATGCATTTCCCATCATTTAGTCCACTAGAATCACCTGGCACTCATTACGAATAATATTTCAGGAGCTTGTAATCATATGGTTCTACGTAAACACCATAAGTTGTTCATACGCCAAAGTACGCCAAATACTGTAAATCACTCGTTATTTGAAATTATCAGGCTTACGAACAAGTTATGATGCTTATTTGGTAGAACATGAGGAGCATCAGCTCCTAAAGCATCATCCGTGATGAGATGGTTCTAGGTATAAAATGATGGGAGATTCATCTGGCATTGTTCTCCAATACCACGGGAAATGTGGTCTGTTTAAATGCCCCAAAGGGCTATGCGATAGTGCAACAGGCGCAAAAT